CAGGCACAATCAGAGCTGGCTGCCCATGGCTGCACTTACCTGCCACTACGCGCTGGGCATCATAGGGCTCCATGTAGCCATTGTTCTCGGGCAGTGCCTCGGCCTCCCCATCCCCATGCAGCTCCTGCTGGGCATCAAAGGGGTCTGAGTACTCGCTGTTTCCGGGGCCCTGTGGTGGGAGCAGGTGTTTAGTGCTGAGAGCAGGGTCTGCCTTGACCCACATGCTCCAGGGCCTGGGCCACTGATGGGAGTCAGCTGCCTCTTGCAAGTCTCCCATCCGAGCACCGACTTGGTCTATCTCTGTTTAGCCTGCAAGGCCTGATGTGCTCGCTGCTGGCCTCAAGTCCCTGGAGGAAACCCTTGTAGGATACCCCCCACCCCATCACCCACTGTAAGCCTAGCATCTGGGGGCTCAAGCCCAGGCCTGAGAGCAGGGCAGCCCCGCCTGGCCTGGGACCCAGGACCCAGAACAGGGGAGTCACCCTCCAGTCAAAATCCAGTGCATGGGGTACCCCACCCCACAGCCCCAGCCTCTGAGCCCTGGCCCCAAACACTGCACAGACCCTGGGCCCCTGAACTCCATGTGCATGTGTAAGTGTGTGTGTGCAAGTCTGTGTGTGAGTGTCTGTGTGTGCATGTGCAAGGGCTCAGAACAAGGCAGAGGAGTGAAGTGCGTGCCCTTTTCCCCTTGATCTGTAGCCCTCCCCAGGGGTTCTCCGTGGCTGGGAGCAGCCAACAGGCTGCAGCAACCACAACCTGTAGCGGGTCTGACATGCAGGGTGGTGGGGCTGGGGTGGGAGCTCACACAGCTGGTAAACACCCCAGAGGTGGCTGCAGCTCAGCACTGTTGGGGAAGTAGCCCCTAAGCTGGCCCTCCAGTGCCTTGAAGGGGGCCAGACCCCACCCAGCGGAGCCGATGGGCTAAACCAGGGGTTCCCAAGCTTTTTAGATCAATGGGCCACCATCAAGGCAGTTTGCCAGGCAGCCTGCATGCCACAGGTTAATCAAGAGAGGGAGGGGAGCAGTGACATCCTCTGACCACTTGCCAGGGCCCTGTGTCCCCCCCCCCACCTCCCAGTCTCCCTGGGCATCCATGGGGGCAGGAGAAGGGATCAGCCCTGGACAACTGGTATTAAAGACCTGGTTCACTGCCAGCGCAAACTGCGGCTGCTCTGTTGTCACCATAAATTCGCCACCCAGAGCCCAGGCCCCGGCTGGGAATTTACTGCTGGTATTTGAATGACTGGGAGCAGGTGGAGACAGGGAAATAGCAAGGCAGGGGGAGGGGGAGCAGCATCCCTGCCCTGCCCGTGACCTCCACCTTTGCCCTCAGTGCCTGTTTTCCCAGGGTCTGGCCTGGCTCACAATGCCAGTGCCAAGGGGGCGTAGGGGGTGCAGTGTGACAGGTTCCCTGGGGCAGTTGCTCCCTCTACATTTGTCTCTAGCCACAGAGCCAAGAGCAGGCATGCTAATGAGGGGCTGGGCTGGGTGGCACCCACCTCTGCCCATCTTCCCTGCCAGGAACCCACCACAGGGACACTGAGGATCCCCCCTCTTGCTGATGCCCACCTATCCTGCCAGCCGAGGGGTGCTTAACCCATCCTGTGACCCACGCGCTGCACCAGGTGCTCCCCTCTCACAGCACATCTGCAGGGACATTGCCTCCCTGCCTTACCCAGGGGGCATCACGCCCTCTGCTCCCACCTCTTTCATGTCCACAAGCCACTAGATCGCAGAAGGGTGTCAGAGAGGGATGAGGGGGTCCCTGCAGACAGGGTGCGCACAGGTGTGTGGGCTGGCCTGCATGTGCCGTGGCTCCCCTAGCCCCTTGCAGGCTTCACCCCTTGCTGCCTCCAGGGAGACAGCGCTGAGCCGTGCAGCAGGGTCCGTGCACGGGCAACGCAGTGGGAGGAGAGAAAAGGCTCTGAGGAAAAGCCCCTGCACCGTGGCACGGGGCTACAGGATCCTGCCTACACTGCAGCCCAGATGCTCACGGAGCCCACAGCCCCCCCGCACAGGGGCTCTCTGCTTCCTTGGGGACCCCAGCCTTTGCCCCAAAGAGCACCCAGGCAAGGTGGAGACAGAGCAGGGGTCTCACAGAGGTGGGGAGAGAGGAAGTGACTTGCCCAGTCTCCCAGTGGGGAGTCAGTGGCAGGGCTAGAATTGAAATCGGAGCCCTGGGCTCCTGGCCAGCTCCCCACCACGTCTGTCGAACAGCCCCCGACCCCGCGCCCTCCCTGCTGCAGGCTCCTTTATTGCAGGCTTCCTGCCAGGAGGTGAAACAGAGTAAAAAGGGGAAAGAGCAGCCAAAATCTTCCCCTTCCCAGGGAGGAGATGGCCCCCTGCTTCCCCCTCCATTAGCCCCTCAGGGCATTTGCCTTTCACCCCCAAGCGCTTTCCTGGACAGGATCATTTATCATTTCACAGGCCTCTGAAATGCAGCCACCTCTGGGGCCCAGGCCCAGCTGGCTAGCCATAACGGTTAGAGCAGCTCCTAACGAGACGTGAGAGAGGGGCACAGCCTCTGGATCAGGACTTCCTAGCCTTTAAATGCTGAAGGGGGCAAGTGGGAGAGAAACATCGGGGAAAAAACCCCTGGTCAGACACAGTTGAGTCTCCCTGCCAGCATCCCTCTCTGCCAGCCTGAGACCCAGGAGACGGGGCTAGACGGACCGATGGTCTGACGCAATGAATGGCTGTGCTTATGTTCAGTTGGGAACAGGAATTGACTTTAATCTGTCCTGCTG